CTCCCCTGATGAGTCACTAATCCTAATACTGTACCACATCCAGCTTATTTTGGTATTGCCTTTCTTGCCCAAAATACATTTTTTAAAGTATCTTGGTATTTGCAGTTCTAGAATTTTGTGAATCAAAATAAAGAGCCCTGATTTCTATTGTCTACTGAAAATAACAATTTACAGGTTTATTTTCATGTTCGACGAACCGAACTGTGAAAAAGTGCACTGTAATAATGCATGAAATATGGTTTATTTTATTTCTAGTTCTGTTTCCCATAGACTTTTTTTTCTTCAAAGAGGACATGAGAATAAAAGCGCAGTTGTCTGATTGAGCAGCAAAGTAACCCTGCTGTGTTCAGTGTCTATTCAGTGTGAAAGATGGTCTGCAACAAAGGCAGGGCGCTCAGTTTCATCTTACACTGCTGGTGAAATTCACCTTCTACAACAAATTATTTAAAATGGACAAAAACAAGCAAAAACTGGAGATACACGTGAAATTTGCAAATGGTCATATTTATCTGTGAAGGCATTTATCGCTTAAGGTGTTTAATGAGAACACAGCTCCAAGTTTTAAGCGCAATATAGTATGTACAGACAATACTGGACGTATGAAAAATGAGGCTGCTGGGACATTTTTCTCAATTTTGCAGTGTTTTTAGAAGTCATTAGCACGATGGGTGCCTTCCCAGTCATCTGTTAATGTCCCTTTATTACAGCACCCTGGCAGCAAGGACATCTAGAGCAAATCACCACACAGGTAAATGAGCTCACGACCTGGGGAGGGAGTCTGACTGATGAAGATATACAGTAAGAAGGTGTTTTGAGAGGACACGGATGGAGGCCCTAGCAGACTCTCTCATATGCTGGCTCCTTGCTACAAATGCAGGAAAACACAAGGGACAACTGCACAGCAAGTGCCAAGGTGCCAACTCAGGAGGAAAGCTGTAAGGGGAACCCATCAGTTATGGGATTCTCTCTCGGCGTACATGTGTTTCTTATTCACAAATGGTCCAAGTGTGCAGAAGACAGAAAGGAATGCTGGGAAAATCTTCAAGACCGCGCAGGTAGACACAGAGAGAACTGGCAAGTCACAACTCTTAAAATAAGTGCATAATTCTAAGAATAAACTTTAGCTAAGTTGAAAGCTATTTTATTTGTTTCATTATTTGGTTTTCCTTATCTCGGTTCTTTTGTAAATTGGAACTGGCAGTGTTTGCCTTATGAAGAACAGATTCCAGTAAAGAGGTGATAGTTCCCCATTTATATTTTTGGTTTTTATACTGTTGTTGACAGATTCTTTAGAGCGAAATGGCTCATACTCTACTGAAATTAATATAGCTCTGGGGCTTGATCTGAATCTGGATATGTCAACCGGCTGCCTCCTATTTCTTCAGGAAAATGTAGTCAGAAGGACATTTTTTTCATTTCATTTTTAAATAACAGGATGGCAACCATAGATACACTGTGTACAGGTGGAATATTTAGACCCCATGCACACTTTGTTTTTACCAGAGAGGTAAACTCCACCATGCATCAACAGTGTTCAGTCCCCACTGCACCTGTTCTCAATGTACTGTATGATATCACTTGATTTATACTGGGAACTCCCAACATATCCTGCTGTGACTCCAGAGAGACAGCAACTTGCCTAGCTAGACTTTTAATATTGTTTAGCCAGAACCTAGGTTTTCATCAGATGCTCGAGTTTCATCCAGCTTGCAACAGCCCTGGACATGTCCTCTACAGTGGACCCAAACCTCCGGCTCTGGGCTACCAGGAATAAGCTGCTTTCTGATCGTGAATGGATGTTTAAGACTATTCGGCTGAATAAAAATAATATTGAGAGCAAACAAAATCAACCTTTCAGTCAATTGCCATGTTTATTAAGGAGGATAGATGACACAAAGATAGATTTAAGATATAGATATAAGATATAGTATATAACTGAGATCATTTCAAGTAATCCGAAGAGTTGTTTGAATCTACTTTATTATAAACACACGCCTTAATGAATACAGTACCTAAGCAGCTATCAGCCAATTTAAGAACCACTGAAATTTGGCATGTTAGATTGTCAGAAGAAAGATTTCCTAATGCACATGGATGGCCACTGTACGGAAACAGACTATTGCAGAATAGACAATTTAAAGTTGTGGCACAAGATAAATACAGTATTTAACCAGCTATGCATGTAAGCAAAGTGTGTTGTAAAACAAGAAGCAACAAGGGGGGCTGACACCCACAGGTTATCCCAACCCCATAAATACTATGACATGCAGTTTATGGCCATATACAGTTGATACAATGTGTTAGGAACTGCATGTCTATATCTGTAGCAACTGTTATATTTTCAAGGGACAGGGCCTAAGCTCAGAGTTTTGGCAGTGTTTTGAGTTCCCCCTACAATGTGAAAGAGCAGTACTGAAATCAGATTTCATGTGGGATGTCAGCTGTTAACATACAGCAACAGTTCTTCAAAGCATCTAGCTGATGGCATTACTGTGCTGCAGTACTACAAAAGACTGATCAATCAATCAATGAAAGAACCACATCAACTATTAATCACTGAGCTCCCTAAATGCACTGCAGATCCACAAATCATCTTTTTGTCTAAGCTCAGTCTGCCTTACGTCTTCTAATTTATAGTAACACATATTTATGCTCATTGGACCTCAGAAAAAGAAATATGTTCAAATATTTTGAGGAAAAGCAATGAGAGCTGTTTCAAAATGTCGGAAACTGTAATATATGCCACTCTTCCAAAAACCATGTCAGTTCATTGTTATTCTGCTTCTTCTCCTCTCACACAGGGATTCAATGAATTTAAGAAGAACATACAGTACCAAATGAGCCATCATTTTTTAAATCAATAATAAACCTTAATCAGAACATTAATAAACTTTAGGCATTTAACAGTGTTGAATGTGCTTGTCTGAGTTATAAAATATGATGTCTTGATTTACTCTGCCAACATTGATCACTCTTGTCAGTGCACACTTATAACATTTTAATCAAACCTTCATCTTGTATTATTTATAGATTAATGTATTGCTTATGAAAGATTAATGCATTCATGGACTGACTATGCGCCTGGTCAAAACTACATGTAGCAAAGAAAACTGAACTCTGCTATGAAGAGAATGTTTTCTGTCGTTATCGTTCTTGATCATCTGAGATCGAGATTATTGGCGATCTTTTGTGATCAGGCCAACATGCTAAATCTAAAACTACAATTCCACTTCATTTTTTACTATATGAATGTCGGATCTTAATCTAAATTCCGCAGTAGCAACTGAGCAAATTAACAATCAGCAGAAAAGGTACAGGAGGCAATTAAACATACTGCCTCATCAGCTCATTCCTTATCGCTTTCATCAAGAAGACAGATGACCTGCAAATGAAGAACGAAAAGCCATGCTTTCCAAACAGTGTTGTCAGACAGGCCCTGCTCACACACAGGACACCTGCCACTGGAAAGCACCAGCACTCCCTGCTGCTGAGGTCTCAGTGACACACGATTTTACATTTTTAAAGCCAGCATTCTGATTTCAAGATTTCACATCAGCATCAAATCCTCAAAGGCACTGACAAAGTCAAGGCAAAAAGAAGATTTTAGAGGCAAGAGCATACCACGAAGAAGATAACACAAGCAAAAACCATGTGGGAGGCAAAGAAAACATTACAAAGCAGATGGAATACATCCTCTGTTAAACCAACTACTGCACAAGCAACAACATGATATAAACACGTCGACTGGCCTCCCCTTGTTTGGGACTGTTGGTGGTACAAGGTAGAGGGGGGGAAAATGCGTTACTTCAACTGTGCTTGATAACTTCAGAAAGTGGTTACTATAAGGTCTTGGGGCATCACTGCTATATGACTGGCTCTGCAATGTGTGACAATAATACCACCAAGGTGGGCACTGAATAACAACATTTTATTTTATGTAGCGCCCTTAAAAGGTCTTGTTAGAAGAAAAATTATTTCTGCAGTGGCTCTTTGGGTGGTGCATGCCACGCCCTCCGTGCCAAAGATGGCGTTGAAAACGGAAACACCTCAAACTTTCACTGGTTAAAAACAGCCAGAGTGTTAATATAGCTGTTTGCAACATAGGAAGAATCATGAGCCAATTATCCAAACTCCAGTACCAGCTCTCCAATGCATCGGACATTTTCTCTCAACTCGGATGCAAATCTGAGAAAGGCCTGAAACTCCAGCACTGGAGCAGGGCAGGAACTGCAGGTCTGAACTGGGATTGAGCATTATAACCTCATTATTGATGGAGTAACTGGGCAGCTGGCCGACTGGTCTAATCACACAGTGATCCAGGAGTAATGAATAAATCCCCTAGCCAGGACAGGTGGATAACATGCTAAAGAGTGATTGATTTTCTGCCTTTTGTAAACGGTAACATTAAAGATCATATTTTCAAGAGGCTCCAGTGTGCTGTTTCATTGTCCCTATATCTTGCGTGATTGGAAAGCATAACTTGTCAGGGGTGTCTGTAAATGCACATTTTGCTTCTTCACACACGCCACACACTCAATGAAGGAAATGAAGATAAAATAAAAAAGCGTTGATGAGTGCACTTAATACACATGGCACATTGTTAGTTGATAGACTCACCTCTGAAAAATTAGGCTGCTGCCTCCAGCATTAAGCCACCTCCTTGAGGGGGTGGATTTACATTTGTCTGTTACTAAATAAGCAAGAAAGAGATCCCAATTCAGGTGAAGACATGCTTGATTATCAGGAGGGGTGCACCAGACTCACAGGTAAAGGGATCTCAGACAAGCAAGGGAACAAGGGAATGAATGTGAATGGAGTCTTAAGAGCTACTAACAGGCACAGCCACAGGCTCAAAGCAGAGCATGTTGCTGGATGACACTGCTCGTTATTAATGACGCTGATGTTACTGGAGCTGCTATGGGTAAAAACAAAACAAGTACTGGAGTTTTATTAGGCGATTAATAGTTTGAAACATGTACTTATTCAACAAAACAGTTTACCAGAAAGAAAGTCTTGAGGTGGAGGGTCCAGGGAGTATGGATACCCTGGGGACAGATAACAACAGCGCAGTTAGAGCAGTGTCAGCTCACATCCAGGAATGGAGACAACATTCTTATTACATAACTGTTGCATCCCCTTCAGTTTTTTCAACACTTTAGGGCTTAGGAATACAAGTCAACACTGGGCCGAGGACATTCCATGCTGCTAACCTCACTTGCAGCACTTTCCACACAGAGATGTATGGAGCCAGAATAACAGCTTTGTCTATTCAATTTGTGCAAGTCTGATTGGGTAAGAGATTCTTAAATCTCCATTCCAGTGTTAGCCAAGCAAACAGAGAAGTTCACAATGCACAGCAGTTTCATCCAGTTCAGGTTTTACGTGCAGATCTGTAGATCAAGCTGCACTTGATACCTTTCTAATAGCGCACCCACACTGACCGCAATATTAAATCCAATGTCATACTTTTGCATGACATCAGCACTAAGGCCCCCTGCATTTAGTAAAATCATGAAGTGGAGCAAACTGCTCTGGAAAGGGAAACATATCCTGGACATCCATCTGTCCCCTATGCACAGCAGATGCAGAATACACTCTGGCTTACTTACACAAAGCAAATATTGCTTGAAGTAGGCTCAGTTGCCAGTGACATGCCTTAGCAGTTTATGTAAAAACAGGTGGCTAAAATGTCCAAGTGAATCAACTTAAGGCGGAAACGTTGGCTGAAACAGATAACTAGTATTGTAAATAATTGTGCGTTCCAAGGCATCTTTATAATGGCATGTCACCAGTTTTTTCATTGCAGTCTCCTGTCAAGGAACTGATTTTTTACATGGGACTGTGGCATTTTGAGCGTACATTGTATCATACAACATACAGTATTCTATAATAACCTAAAAACTTCCAATTGGTATAGTGGACATTTAATTTAGGTTTTATACCAGATTAACCCTTTTTAGACAAATGATACCAATATGTACAGTATGTGTAAAACTGTGGCATCTTCTAAGACCAAGGAGTTGCTGTTACTTGTTTACAGGATTCTTCATTCAGATGCTGATGCAACTTCTCATTTCTCCCCCTGACCTGATGAGAAAGGCTGCTGCTGGCACATACAGTAATTGATGCTGCATGTCAACTAGGTGGGAGCTGCTCTTGATGGATGATGTGGGTCTCCTCCTGTATTTAAAGATCTTTCGGATCCTTTCAGCTGATATACTGTACATTCAAATAAAATATTGTAATCCTAAACTAGGGGTCCCGTGGACTCAATGCTTCAAACTGTTCCCTGTCAAGTCACCACACCACAGTAAGAGGGGATGTGCATGTGGATATTTGAAGCAGTCCTACTAAAACTTAATCACTGGTGGATTACTCTCCCCTAGGCTCTTGTGAAATTAGCTTGAGTTAACAGCAGTGGTCTACTAGCCTTAATCCCTCCTGTAATCCGAGTATTAGCCTAATGACACCAGCCTGCACAGCCTTTACACTGCCCCCTGGAGATCTCTAATCTCTTTAGGGAAAGCAGGGCACGGGCTGGTCACAGGGAAGTGTCCACTGTGCTGTGAGGAGTACGTGCAGGGTCCCAGACACTGGTGTCTTGTCTCACTGAGACATTCATCTCATGGTGACACCAGCCCACAAAGGCTACAGTTCTCTTCCTGTGCAGCAGGAGTACAGAATGAAGCAGAAAAGCACAAGTTAGCAAGAAGATAATACTTGTGTCACTCTCAAAACTTTCCAGGAGTCAAATATACAAAAAGCAAGGGCAGGTGGGAAAACATGACACAAGCCATGGACAAAACACAGTAAATAAATGGTTTAAATAACAAACCTGACAAAATGCCAGGCAAATTTACAGTGATAGAAGTTTATGGAGGAGAAGCTCAAGCTGTCAACTAAGCTTGCAACCTGCGCTTGGAACAAAGCCGTGAATTCATAGTTTTTACTAACACAGTCCGAGTTATTTATGGGAAGAGCAGTATGAGAATGTCCTGAATCCTTCTCAAAGTGTGAAAGGCATGTGTCCTAGTTAGATTACACCCTGTCAACTTCAACGGAGTCCTGCCACCCGCGAAGACTGGCACACAAGGCCTGCAGGAATCTAGGAACCAGATAAGAACTCTTTATGGACAGGGAAAGGCCTACCTGCGAGGCCATTCCACCAGGATTCTGACAAAGCCAAAGTTCTTTAACTGGCAGCTTAAATGAGAATGAATTCACTCAAACGCAGTAGCCCAGGATCCAACTGTACCACAGACCTGAGCTGGAATGGTTCTGAAGGTGCCACTTTTGACTCCCCCTTTCCCTAAGAATTCTTTCATCATCATACTCACATTAGTAGTCAAGAAGACAGGTAATATTTGCTTATATTCCTTACTAAAGAAAGCCTGTGCTTTAATTCTGGCAAAGCAATTCTTCTTCAAACAGTAATTAAATAAAAGGTTCAGGGTGAGGGATGAGGAAGAAGTGAGCTCCGGCTGAGCTCCCTGCGTGAGCTGATCAAGCTGCTCAAAGCAATGGCCATAGCAAAGCTCTCTCCACTACAGCAATCACACAGGATGTCACAGAGTCTGCTGGAGCTCATACATCAATGCTATCCCCCCCCGCTGTACTGCAGACATTCGGAGAAAAAGGGAAAGGAGACTAATAACACACACTGAATGGCAGAAGCCAAGTCAAAACTGGATCTGGAGAACTTTGCATCAGTGCAAAATAAAAGAACCCAATTATTTATCATACACAGAGTAAGGAACTTTTTGCAAAGATAGTTACAGCCTAATGTTGGCACACAGGTTACCAGTGTATGCTGCACCAGCTGAGATTCATCAACTGTTTCCACAGCGACTATTACCGTGTAATATACACAGTATATTACAATACTACACGATGACATACTGTTCTTAAATGTTTTTAAATTTAACATGATTAACATTAATTGTTCTGGAGGTTAAGGTTATGTATAATTTCAAAATTATGCATAATGCTATCCGTGGCTTTTGACTAAACAGGTGTAAGAAGCCTCTTACATCTTAGCCCAGATGAAAAGCTACAGTGCAAACACCAAATGTACTGTAAGTGTCCTGTAGAGCCCAACAAAGGGCATCCAGCTTCTACAGTATGTCCTTGAGTTGATGCACATTTTTCTGTAAGACAGATGGGCAAACTCCACTGCTGGAGTGCTACTGGATCTTCAAGACTCTTGCACCAAGCTCTCAGCTCATTTCATTACTTAAATTAAATGGGCAGATGCATTAGTTTATAGGTCCTGTAATATTTTACATCACTGTATCTTGAATCAAGTGTTTCTTTAATCATGCATTATAAAACACCCTGAGAAAGGAAAACATATCCAATGCATTTATATTCTTAATCAGTGTTCAATGTTAATTGAAAGTTTTAGCTGAAATGAAAAAGAAAAAGTTGTAAACTTGGACACAGGAAAAACAGCTTTTCTGCCAAAGCTCTGACTATTTGTATTCTTTCCAAAGAAAGCCAGAAAAGTGTAAACTTCACTTTTCCTGAATGGAGTATTGACTATCCCAAGTTGGCAGTATGGTCCTGCTGCACTACAATCTGAATCTGAAGTATCCTTCCCATTATGACCTGGGGTCACAGTCGATAAATCAGCACCTTTTACATGCAGGATGAGAGGCCGGAAGAAACCTTCACATTACCATTTCCATTAGAAATGAGGGTCTCAGTGCACATACATCCCATGCTGGCCTTTGGTTTTAGCAAGACGGGCAGCTTTCCCAAGAGGCTTTCAAATAAGAAAGCTGGCCGAGCGTTCAACAAGAGTGTTTCTGAAAATTAGGGAATGATTCAGCTATCAGTGGGGGCAGGGTTCAATCAGCAGTAATGCACAGTCTGGCAGTCCGTGTAGCAAAGTAAAAAAAACACATAAAATACATTAATTAATAAAAAGCAGTTTAAACTCAAGGCCTACATGAACCGAGGTGGTTCTTACAAAGAAAGCCATTAGCATGAGGAATGTGCACACTGGATTACGGAGACCAGTGAATGGGTGACTGTTGGGGAGGGGAGGCAATATTAAATATGGGAACTGATGACCATTCACCCACAATACCCATCTACTGTGGCCAACTCTGATGAGACATTTTCTGTCAAGGTGAGCAAGCGCCCTGAGACCCCCTGCTCTGCATCCTCTCACACCCATGCAGCTTGGGCCACAGCACAGCCTGAGGAACAAACAGGCTGGGAAGAGATGGCTGTGGGAGAAAAAGGCGTGGCTGGAGCTCCAATAATTAGGCCAATCCTTTTGTCCACAACAATACACCTTCATCCATACGAGCTGTGTTTCATACCACACCAGGACTGTGTGGACTGTACAACAGACTGCTATTGCTTTCTGCAATGGGTCTTGAGTTCCATTTGTTAGACAGCAGGGCGCAAAACACAATATACAGTATGTTAAGGGAACCTTAATTTTGCAGGTAATTCTGCATATAACAGCTGTCCCACCAGTAAAACACCACTACCAAAGATATCAAGACATTTAAACCTCCTAAGGTCTAAGGTTATTATTTATTAGATCTGTTAATCCTCATCAATATATAGCCCCACTGTTGCATAATCTAGTGCAGAATTATGCATAACAACCCATTCTGTGGTTTGCTTTATTACAGAATGCAGTGCATTAGATACGATTTAGAATTATAAGCAATAATGACATCATGGACTCCAGAATCCATGCCTTTCTGTCAATTTCTGACATGGGTATCCCCATCAGGGAAGCAGTTACCAATGCAATGCAATGACACAGAAGCACTGCGCACTAAAGATGTAATCTAAGTCAAACTGCATAGCTACTTGTTTACAGCACACTTTGGGGCCAAAATTGTTTTCTTATATTTTATTCCTTTTTAATTTAAACATTTTATAACATTTTACTTGTAGGCCAGGTTAAAAATTCAACTTCCTTGCAGATGGAATATTGCATCCCATGTGGTATACAGTATATGCACCCCATTGTCCAACTAAACCCAATTATTAACCAGTAAACTGGAAACATCTACAGTAT